AGGAGTACCGCTAACCTGCCCTGCTGGTGAGTTGCCCAGGAAAACTCGTGCTGTAACCCCGCTGTGTGGCGCCAGGAGTACCGCTACCTGGCCTGCTTGTGTGTGTGCCCAAGAATAGCTCGGCTGTTACCCGACTGTCGGCTAAGGAGTACCGCTACCTGCCTGCTGTGTGTGTGCCCAAGAATACTTCGGCTGTTACACCTACGCTGTTTTGGGTCTGGGGGGGGGGCCCAGGAGTAATCATTGCCTGCTGCCCGCTGTGTGTGCCAGAGGTGACTCGCTGGCCAAAACCGTGAGTGTCCCTATTTTCCCTTGCTAGACTGTCCATGAACCTCCCTATCCTCATTCTTGCCTGGACTGTCCTTGAATCCCCCTACTATTGCCCTGCCTGTACACCTCCCTATTCTATCTGCCTGGACTGTCCCCTGTGAGATCCCCCAATTTTGCCCCCTGCTTGAACGGTCTAGTGAACCTCCCTATTCTCTTATTCTGCCTGCATTGCCCATGATGAACCTCCCTATTGACCCTTCAGCCGGACTTGCCCTGCTTGGAGTTAATACTAATGCTCGGATAAATACTAAAAATGCCATCGCTACTCGCTAAATCGCCCTACCATGGCCGGATTTCAACTGTTTTGGGCTTCTGCCCCTCTTCCCCTTTTTTGGGTACCGACAGTCCAAAATCTCCACAATCGTATACGCTACCATATCCTACCCTGCTGATGAGTGTCCCCCATATTATCAATAAAACTTTGTGTGTTGATCAGCCTCCGTGTGTGTTCTGTCCTGCCTACGGCTTCCGTCACAGTTTAGATTTCTGATAGTTTCACCAAAGGCGCCCCAACAGGGCTGATAAAAAAATTGTAATAAATAATACAAATTAACTTGTAAAAAATAAAAAAAAAAAAAAAACTATAAAAAAATGTAAAATAAAACATTTTTAAAATACTTGGAACACCGTTTTTTTAGCCATTTTACATATTGTCATTAACCCAGTGTCCCTGACCACTGCCATGACAGTCATATGGGGATGCTGCTCAGGTGACAGTATGTAAGAAAAAAAAAAGTGAAAAACATTTACCACCGTATTTTTCAGCCCCATAAGATGCACCTAGACCATGAGACGCACCTAGATTTTAGAAGAGGAAAACAAGGAAAAAAATATTCTGAACCAATGGACTGCAGACATAGTACAAGGAGATGACCAGAGACTGCAGACATAGTACAGGAGATGACCAGAGACTGCGGACATAGTACAGGAGAATGACCAGGAGACTGCGGACATAGTACAGGACATGACCAGAGACTGCGGACATAGTACAGGACATGACCAGAGACTGCGGACATAGTACAGGACATGACCAGAGACTGCTGGACATAGTACAGGACATGACCAGAGACTGCGGACATAGTACAGGACATGACCAGAGATTACGGACATAGTACAGGAGATGACCCAGAGACTAACGGACATTGTACAGGACATGCCCAGAGACTGCGGACATACTACAGATGGACCAGAGACTGCAGGCATAGTACAGGAGATGACCAGAGACTCGCAGACATTCGTGGGGGGGGGCACCCGAATTTGACAGGTACCCATGTCCGTGGAGTTTGTCCTCATGCCCTAGTCCTTGTGGGACACATGACAGGTCCCAGAAAACTACAGGTGACCATTCACAAAGTGCAGCGCTTCTTACACATTCACAGTAGGGGCACCTGGCTGTTGGCAGCAGCAAGCTGTCATCCAGCCAGGTTCCTACACTGAAGAAGATGCCGGCGCCGGGGGGAGAAGAAGACGGCCGGTGAAAGCAGGATCGACGCCGCTGGACCGAGGAACAGGTAGGATCAAGGAGCAGGTTCTTCTGCACAGTAGAGCCTAGCGGCGAGCCCGGGATTTCTAACAGGGTGGAGGCGGGAATACCGGGCCGCCACGTCCATATTCGCTCCATAAGACGTACAGACATTTTCTTTCCCACCATTTTTTTTGGGGGGGGGGGGGGGGGGGGAGTGCATCTTATGGAGCAGAAAAATATGGTACTTAATTTCTTTATTTTTCACAAATTGGGACAAAGAAATTACAGGGGCTGGAATTTGTACTGTTCTGGCATTTTAGGGCCTCAAGAAATGAGGCAGTCAGTACATCAGGATTTGATCAATTTTCAAATATATATCAATGTTTGTAGGCTGTATAATTTTCACACAGAGTAAATAATATACACGGATTTGGGTTACTTTCACCAAAGATGAAATGGTAGAATATATTTTGGCCTAAATTTATAAGGAACGATTTTTTATTTGCATAACTGTATAACAAAAACTGAGAATTTTTTTTTTCAAAATTTTTGCGATATTTTTAGTTTTTTTATAGCAAAAAATAAAAACCTCAGTGGTGATTAAACCACCAAAAAAAGCTCAGTCTCAAAAAATGATAAAAAATGTAATTTTGGCTACAGTGTTGCATGACTGAGCAATTGTCATTCAAAGTGTGACAGAGCTTAAATCTGAAAATGGCCTGGGCAGTAACTCAAGTGTTGGTGAGTGGTATTCATTCACTCATAACTAAATATTTCAGTTTATAATTGATAAAACCCTATAACTGGTTCTTAAGTTTCTTGGAGACTCCAGAGGTAGCAGTATTGTTAAAAGCGGTATTAAACCCAAAACTAAAATATTGCAGTTTACCAATCGTTAGATGTGGTGGCTGCATCAGTTTTCTGAGTTACCACCTGGTGATCTCTCCATGTCATGTATTCACATTCTGTGGATGAATAAACTACATGCATTGATGGCTTTTAGTTCTCAAATGAACTGCAAGGGCACTGGTCAGTACTCTTGTAGTTTATTGATCTTCCTGGGACTTCAGTAACTGCCTGCCTGTACAGGAGTCTGTAGGAGCCTGGAGATTTGCTGATCACAGACGCAACATTCTGCAGGCTCCTAGGGGAAAAAAATGCATTTAACTGCAAAAAAAGTGTAGTTAATCTTTCTTAAAAAGTGAATTTTATCCTTTGATTCCAGAAAATAATCAGAGCTAAACATTATAGTAAAAATCACATCTTTTCAGCAGTGTTACTGCTTGTTGAAAAAATCTGTTGGGCAAGCAGGATGAGCCCAGAATGCTCCTGTTATTGATCCCCATTAGATGGGAGGTTCTGGGGTGTCCTGTTTATAGGACACTTTTACCTGTCAAGGACTTAAGTCCCATGTTGTCTCTAAAACAAGGATAAGGACTTTGACTGTTTTGGAGGAGAAATGAGGAGAGAGCTTATACTAGCAAGGTAAAACCAGCCCATGTTACAGTTATCACAATTTGCAATACTGCTGGCTACTATTGTAAGAAGAAGAGTCCACTCCAAGTTTAGCTGGCTGTTCACATACAAGCAGATGCAAATATGGTACTAAGCGTCTTTGTGAAGCAACCTAAGCTGCCATCCTACGAAACGGGGTGTTGCATTCACACCCTTTTGACAACGTACATGTGTACGAAACACGTTGAGGAGACCCCGCACGTCGTGACGCACGCCGCCGGATCATGAAGGTCCGCGGCCATCTTTGATACCAACTGGTCATGTGCATCCAGCAGCTCTTACCATGCATGTCCCATTTTTCTACTGAGGATTTACTTTTACATTTATATGTGTGTTTCATTGGATCATTTTTTAATAAACCATTCATAAGGAATACTACACTATGGGCACCATCCTTTTTTGCTCTGTACTGAGCATTTAACTCCCCAGAATCCCCAGGTGACCAACCCCCAGAGCCCAGAGGAGAAGAGACCATACACCAGACCCCACCACAGCTTACCTTTAAAGGAGACCTCTGATTGACATCCTATCGCCCAGATCCATAGAGGAGGTTTTTCACATACCAGGCTGCATCCCTACTCTACCATAAGAGAGGAGACCTCTGCTGTTTGATTAATTTGCGCATATCTTGATGCGCCTCTGGTGATGTGTGCATTTATACCCATTACTCAGACCACGTTACTGGATTACCTACTTCTACTGGGAGAATAAGAGTCCCACCTTTCTGAATCTTTTAGCTGCACTTACAACCAAACGTTTTTTGATTTTATCAATATAATATCAATTTTTTTTTTTTTTTTTTATTTTTTATGTTATGATTTCATATACGTCTACCTTGTGCAGTTCTATGGGATACTAATAGTCATTTATTTGGTATATGTAATCTGCATTTCTTCATTGGACACCAATTAAGTATCCTAAGTATTAGTATTTCTTTGGCAGTTTTTTATGCGTTTATACTGGTGACTATTGTGACATTTTATGCGTTTAATTTTTTTGGCATTTATATATTTTAGCGCTGCACTATATTTTTTACATATCATTTGCACCTGCTTTTAATGCCAGTGTGAACTAGGCCTAAACATTGGGGCAAAAGAGCAATCAGATCCAGTCAGAAATTATGGACATGCAGCAGGAAAGAGAGCGCTCAATTCAGGGGCGTATTTACCACAAGGCAAACAAGGCACTTGCCTAGGGTGGCATTTTTCAGGGGGGGCAGCACGAACCCTTCCCCCAGAAGAAGGGATGAAAGAAGGGACACGCACACCATAGAACTAGGTGGGATCCAAGAGAGGCTGCAGGCTGCTTGACGGTGTATGTGGAGCCTGACTCTTGTTCCTGGGGATGTCCGAAGCTGTGAAGATGAGTGTCTTTTTCTCTTTTGCCAGGGGAGGTAAAGGAAGGCTTTCCCAGGTGTGGGGCAGGGGTGTTGTTGGTCAATGTCAGGCTCTCTCTGCGGGAGGGGGGCGTGTTGGTCGGTGTCCATGGGGGCAGAAGAACGATTTTTGTGTCGCCTAGGGCAGCACAAAACCTAAATACCCGACTGGCTCAATTCCAAGTACAAAAACAAGAAAGAACAAAAAAATGACAATACAGAATTTTAGCTATTTGCTAAAAAAGGAAAAAAAAATACAGAAGAAAAGTGCATTCATATAATATTCAGACCCCCTTCACCTTTTTTTTCAATTTTGTTATGCTGCAGCTTGAAAACTACACTTGTTTACATTCTTTTTTTCTCATTAATCTACGCTCAGTGCCCCATAATGAAAAAGTGAAAACAATTTTAGAAAATGTTTGCATATGTATAAAAAAAAGGAAAAACTGAAATATCACATTGGCATACGACTATTTAGACCCTTTGCAACCACAACTTAGCTCAGGTGTCCCTTCCTTTTATTTGATCGTTCCTGAGGTGTTTTTTTACACCTTGTTTAGGAATGCCCCTGTGGTAAATTTAATTGGACATGATTTGGAAATGCACACACCTCTCTATAAAGGCTTCACAGCTGACAATGCATACTGTATCAGAGCAAAGCCATGTGGTCAAAAGGAACTGCAGACAGAGATTATTGCAAGGCCCCAGATCTGGGGAAGACTACAAAATATTTCTGCTGCACGGGTGGTTCCCGCATTGGCCTCCATAATTCTCAAATGGAAGAAGTTTGCTAAAACCATATGACTCTTCCACCGCTCTTCACCTGCCCAATACCACCTAACAGTGTAGTCATAATGGTGGCAGCATTATGCTGTGGGGGTTGTTTTTTTAGCAATAGGGACTGGGAGACTAGTCCTTGGTTTGAGGAAAGATATCCTCAATGAAAACCTGTTCCATAGCGCTTCAGGACCTCAGACTGGACCAAAAGTTTCACCTTCCCAACATGACCAAAACGATCGAAAGCACACAGCCAAGAAAACACAGAAGTGGCTTGAGGAACAACTCTGGTGAACTCTGTAAAGGCTTTTAAAGCGTCAACTATGAAATTTTTTAAGCACAGTAGGTCCCTGTTGCCATTCCACAAGGTTGTAATTTTTTTTTAAGGGGACATGTTAGGTATCTATTTACTTCGTGTAACATCACACTTTTAATATTTTACCAAACAGTTATACGTATTAAAATGTGCTATTTGTGGCATTAAAATTAAATAAAGAGTGTTTTTTTTTTCCCCGAAAAAGTTTTTGAAAAACAGTTGCGCAAATACCGAGTGACATTAAAAAATTGCAGTACTCGCCAATTTTTTCTCTAGGCCTCTGCTTTAGCAAAATACATAAATTTTTTTTCGTGTAATTTTCTAGCAAAATAAAGCTTATTTTACATTTAATGGAAGAAGTGTCAGAATACACTATATTGCCAAAAGTATTGGGACAGCTGCCTTTACCACACACACACATGAACTTATAATGACAACTTCCAGTCTTAGTCACGTAGGGTTCAATATTGCGTTAGCCCGCCCTTTGCAGCTAAAACAGCTTCAACTCTCTATCTGGGAAGGCTGTTCACAAGGTTATGGTGTCTGTGGGAATGTTGGACCATTCTTCCAGAAGCGCATTTGTGAGTTTTTCAGGCACTGATGTCGGACGAGAAGGCTCAGCTCACAGACTCCTAATTCATCCCCAAAGGAGTTGTTCCTATACGGGCTGAGGTCAGGACTCTGTGCAGGCCAGTCAAGTCCTCCATCCCAAAACTCACTCATCCGTGTCTTTCAGGACTTGCTTTAATCCACTGGTATGCAGTCATATGTTGGAACAGGAAAGGGCCATCTTCAAACTGTTCCCACAAAGTTGGGAGCATTGAATTTGTCTGAATGTCTTGGGTATGCAGGACACCTAAGATTTCCCTTTACTGGAACTAAGGGGCCAAGCCCAATCTCTGAAGAACAATCTCCACACATATTCCCCCCTCCACCAAACTTACACTTGGCACAATGCAAATCAGACAAGTTGTCACGTACCTGATGGGAGACTGAAATTGAAGAGGTCGGCCAGATCACTTGTGTCACTAGCCCTGACCCCGCTGAGGTATGGAACAGAGGGAGTCACTAGGGACCAGGAGAGACAAGAGCGCCAGT